GTAGAGATGAGGTCTCGCTGCCCAGGCGGGTCTCAAACCCATGAGCTCAGGCAGTCCACTCATCTCAGCCTCCCAAAGGCGCAGGATTACAGGCTGAGCCACTGAGCCTGGCTTAGATTATATTTCCCCCCCACACACTCTTTAGAATTTGTCTTCATCGTTCAGGCCCTAATAACATTTTTCTTTTCTTTTTTTAACTTTAAAATTTTTTTATTTTAAAATTGTGGGGTACAATTCAGGGTTATGAATACAAATATTCATTATGCAGGTACCCTTGCTGATGAGGTATGCCCCTCCCTCCCCAGGCAGATTCCAACTACTGCCAATCCCACCTCCCCACCCCCTCACAGTTTCCTGCTACTGTCAATCCTTTTCTTATAGTATTACGATAGTTCAAGGTCCACTTATAAGTGAGAACATTTTTCTTTTCTTAACTGCTTGTCTGATTTGGGAGACCTTAAAGTGCTGCACTGTACCAGCCAGCTGCTTCATATCTTTTAGCAGCCTAACACACACCTTTGAATTGCTAGGCTAGTGGTGTGGAAAGAGTAGCCAACTCCATTGTGGCACATGTTTCTCTGGAAGAGAGAAATTACATGCATGGGACAAACAAGAAGCAGAGATTCCATGACCAAGTGCAGAGTCCAGTGCTGGAGGCAGAAGTTATGATAGTTGTGCCACTGCCTAATTCTGTGATCTTGGGTGAGTCATTTTACAAGCCTGAGGGCTGCATTTCTCAGCTGAAAGTGATGATCCAACCAGTGTTAGATTGTTGGGGTTTTTTTGAGTTGGAGTCTCACCTCTGCTGCCCAGGCTTGAGTGCAGTGGCATACTCATGGCCACCCCAGCGTCAACCTGCTGGGCTCTGGCGATCCTTCTGCCTCAGCCTTCCAAGTAGCTGGAACTGCAGGTGAGCGCTACCACGCCCGGCTAATTTTTGATTTATTGTAGAGATGAGGTCTCATCAAGTTGCCCGGGCTGGTCTTGTACCCGTGGGCTCAGGCAATCCACTCGCTCAGCCTCCCAAAGTGCTGCGATTACAGGCTGAGCCACCGAGCCCGGCCTTAGATTTGAATAGTTATGCCTAGATGTGCTGTTACCACAAAATGTTGTGCAAAACTTTTCTAGTATTGTTTACTTTTTAATTAAAAACAATTAGTTATAGAGAATAGTATTGATAGTGTACAGTTCAAGTTAGCTTTTCTTTATGTTTAACTACTAGGGTGATTGGCCTTTGGTGTTAAACTTAGCCAAAGGTGGGCAGCCCCGTTGGGTCCCCTCCCACTGTGGGAGCTTTTCTGTCCTCTTAATAAATCCTGCTTTCTAAAAAAAACCCAAAATTTGAGAGAATTTAAAAACTCTATATTGAGTTGCTGAAAAATATTCACTACTGACCTGGGTGGTAGCTTACATCTGTAATCCCAGTGGGAGGCTGAGGCAGGAAGATTGCTTGAACCCAGCAGTTTGAGACCAGAGGCGGGAAGATTGCTTGAACCGAGCCCAGGAGTTTGAGACCAGCCTGGGCAACATAATGAAACTTTGCCTCTACAAAAAAAAAAATCAGAAAATTAGCCAGGAATAGTGGCACATACCCATAGTCCCAGCTACTTGGGCAGCCAAGGTAGAAGGATTGACTGAGTCTAGAAGGTCAGGTCTGCAGTGAGCCATGATCATGCCACTACACTCCAGCCTAGGCAACAGAGTGAAAGCCTGACTCAAAAAAAAAAGTTCATCTTTCTCTTATTTTCTCTTTTCTCTTAAATAAGAGAATAATAGTTTAAGGAGAAAAAAAAAAAAGGCCAGGTGCAGTGGTTCACACTTTAATTCCGGCACTTGGGAGGCTGAAGTGGGAGGATTGCTTGAGCCCAGGAGTTTAAGACCAACCTGGGCGACATATAGAGACCTCATCTCTTAAAAAAAAAAAAAAAAAGTCAAAAAAAATCAGCCAGGTGTGGTGGTGGGCACCTGTGATCCCAGCTACTCTGGAGGCTGAGGTGGAAGGCTTGCCCAAACATAGGAGGTCAAAACTGTGGTGAGCCATGATCGTGTCACTGCATTCCAGCCTGGGGGACAGAGTGAGACTAACTCAAAAACAAAAAAAATAGAAAAGTATAATAGTCCTTGCTACATATTAGCAACTTTGAAATATATTTTATATACCTAATATTATATATATTATATTTTGATAATATATAATTAAACATGTACTTTATATATATTCAAGTCTGGAGCTAGTTCACATCTTAGCAATTTAGATTAAACTGGAGTAGAAGGTGTAAAGGGGAGCACTGCTTACTCTACAGAATACTTCAGAATACAGGTAAGTTACAAAACATTTTACAGTATGGTGTGGGTTTTATTAATGTACTCTTTTGCTTTCAAGGATGGCGCAAAAGAAATATCTTCAAGCAAAATTGACCCAGTTGTTAAGGGAAGACAGAATTCAACTGTGGAAACCTCCGTATACAAATGAAAATAAAGAAGTTGGTTTGGCATTAAAGGTATTTTCCTTTTTTTTGAATTGGTCTTACTCTGTTGCCCAGGCTGGAGTGCAGTGGCATGCTTCTGGCCACCACAGCCTCGACTTGCTGGGCTCAGGTGATCTTTCCACCTCAGCCTTCCAGATAGCTGGAACCACAGGTTTGTGCCACCACACCCAGCTAATTTTTTGACTTATTGTAGAGACGAGGTCTCATCAAGTTGCCCAGGCTGGTCTTGAACCCCTGGACTCAGGCAATCCTCTTGCCTTCGCCTTCCAAAGTGCTGGGATTACAGACGTGAGCCACTGCGCCAGGCAGTATTTTTCTTTTAAGACATAAATATTTAGCAATATTCTAACTTCCTGGGTAAATAAGGTTATGAAGTCACCAGAAGCTGCCAGTCTTGACCATTTAAATTAGCAGCAGTACTGGTGCTAGTAAGTTATCACATGGCATTGCGACATGTTCAAAGTATCTCGATTCTTCCTCAGTCCTCCTTGCCGTCATCCTCTGTGGTGAAACAATTGCTCCCTTCCCCAAGTTTTTTTCCTATGACTGTCAGTTTTCATTTTTTTCAAAGTGTGTATTTCTAACAGTTGTGCTTCGGTTTTTTTATGACATCATCAGAAATGGTATTATTTTATGTAAGTAATATTTCTAGAAACTGAAGTTTTTACTGCTTTTCTAAGTGGGGAAATATCATTTTTGGCAGAAATCTTATCATCCTGGACTATCCTAGCATGTACTCTCAATCTGAGTATCCTGAACATGATGCAACATTTATCAGGGACTGAGGATTGTCATGAGGGTATTGTCTGCATTAGGACATAGTGATGCACTTGGGAGGTGACAAACTGTATTGGGGTCTTTAGTTCTTCTGTTTCTTCTGTCCCTGGCAGGCTTCACTTTTAATTTTTTGTAATTTATCTTCTGACCTTGCTTCTGAATTAGCTTGTTATAGTCTCTACTCAGAAACTATGTGTAGCATAGCAGGAAAGATATTTGATCTTTGTCCCTGGTTCCTGACAGAGCGAAAACCTTTGGAACTTCCTGAGCGATAAGGGTGATAGAAACACCTTTTGTTCTGTGAAGGTTGGTGTCCCCTGTATACCTTCCAGATGGACCTAGTGGCTAGAAAGACCAAGCCAAGCCTCGATTAGACGCTTGACACTTTCAGCCCTACCCTTTTTTTTTTTTTTGAGTTGGAGTCTCACTCTGTCGCCCAGACTGGAGTACAG